AGGATTATTACACCTAGCACTATTAGTCAACCCTTTAACATCCCTCTTTTGCACGCGATTCAGAAACTAGCGAGCCTACTATTATTGATACTTTCACCATCTTTTACGCATTGATATAATATAATTCAAGTTTGCGTGTGGACGTGAACAGCTTAGGCGCCATAGAAATTGGAATACAGTTCTTCTTTAAACCGTTTTGGTTTGAAACCGAGGGGGAAACCGCTAAAGGCATTGTGGCGTACAGATTTGCGGCATTACTGGGCATTACTAGGCATTACAAGGCATTTTTTGGGCATTAGTTTGGGCATTAGATCTTGCTGGGGCATTACTTTATCTTATTATCTTATTTTATCTGATTTATCTCGTTTTATCTTATTTTATCTTATTTTGGCCAGCGGTTTCCCTCTTGATTGAAACATTTCTGACATCGAAGTACAACCACAACATCAAAAGTACCACGTATACATATAAACACCGAAAGTATAAAGCACGACCAAAATTTGGTGTGTAACATGTGTTTCTCGATGTGTTTACATAAATATAGATATATGCCCTCGAGTCAACTAACAAGCGTGATAAAAAGTCAATCCATGATATCTATACGTGTTGAGTTGATAACATTTGTATATCGTATTAAGGGGATGCTGGAGTGATTCTGCACTTTTGCACCTTTCTAACCTAAAAACTGTCAGTTCGCGGAAACATTTGTGTAATATACAAATTAAATGGCTTACGTGTACAGATCGAAAGCAGCTCGCTATTCCGGCCAAATGAAAGAACAATATGGCATCATTGAAACTAAGTTTGTACGTCTAATAAGAAATAATAGTGAGCAACACATACGGTACATGTAGTATATACAATACGTGCCATTTAATTTGTGTATTACACAAATCTTTCCACGAAACAGACAGTTTTAAGTGCAAAAGGTACGAAAGTGCAGAATCACCCCAGCATCCCCTTAAGCTGCGTATTTCATGCATGGATTGAGATGAACCAATAGAGCAATAAAGAAATGCGGTAACTCTTACCGGCATCGATTTGTCTGCCGATAAAACGTTGCACAGTATTCTTTGAATCTGGAAATGACGACAGACTTCCGGCTGTTGTTGCGGATTCTTGGCGCTGGGTGAATTATGGACATTGCTGCTTTAGGAAAACACTGCCTTGTCCTTCTCCTTTTTCACGTTTCGTTTATTCCTGCGTAAACATGGCGTACAGACATTTATAACGGCAACCGCGAAGCAATAACTCATCGCGATAAAATAAATTGGAAAATGTGCCCGGTGGAAGGTAAACGCGCAATACATTGAAGAGGAGGTTTCGCGATTATAGAAACGGGAGTAATATGCCAAAGTGCGATTCCGATAACAACGACCGTCCTCTCATTGTCAGTCCTTTTTCTTTTATTATCAGCGTTTACGATAAGTCGTGTTCACTATTTGTGATTTTTGTTTTCCGGTCTATGATAAGTCAGACTTGAGTTAAAAACGCGACATCATAGGAAGGTATATTTAGGAAAAAATATTCCATGTTTTTTGATAATTTATATGAAATAGACATTGTTAAAAAAATGAGATAGACGCTTATGTCGGAAGAGATTAATTTTGATTCGCTCGATATTAGGTTCTTGGATGCACAGTGCAGTCTAATCATTGTCAACCAACGACGATTGTTCTGGGCGCATAGAATTGCGCATCTCACATGTGCAATCGGTCCTCAGGGCCGCGTGTTCACAAGTGAGGATCCTTGATACGCTTATATTACGCAGCATGCGAACAACGGCGTCAATAGGTCAAAGGTGCATAGAAGAAGGCGCGATCAATGGGGGAGAGAGAGAGTGTGTGTGTGTGTGTGTGTGTGTGAGAAGGGGGGGATAACCGCGTGTGCGTTCCTAAAAAAAAGGAGGAAAAACAGATAAATCGATTGATTAAATTAGCGCCGGGCTGGAAACAAGGCGCGCTAAATAGACGTGTAGCAATCGAGTTTAACGGCAAGAAGAGACTCTCTCCCTCTCCCGAATAGTTTGCCCGAATTTTACGCGATTCCCGATTATGATAATCAATCGCTCGCACGATTTAACGGGGTGGATTAACATCTTCCGATACGACGGAACGTCGTTGTTCTATCAAGAAAGACAGTTGTCTTTCGGCGAACGGCTTGGCGCACGTCCAAAATTCCCCTCCATCGAACTGCTCGCACCCCGGAGTTGATGACCTGCCCCGTTCTGACGGCGATTGTGTTGCCCTTTCGAGTGTAATGAGGTTTGCAAACGTAGCCTGCGAGCAACTCGGAGCCCGGTGGCTATCTCGCAACGGTGTTGAGGGGAAAATCGAAATGCCAGGGGAATTGTCGCACCACCTATTTCTCGCAATTCTCGTAAAGTAAAACGACGAAACACCGAATACTTTCATTAATAAAGAGTTTTCAAATGATAAAACTTTTTCAATGATATGCACCGAGTGCTATTTGACTATAATATATTAATTATATAAATTAAATATTAAATTCTACATTGTAATTATATGTTAAATTCTACATATTATAATTATATATTATTAATTATATTAAATGTATTATAATTACTATTTAAATTAAACGAATTTAAATATATTGATATTGTAATAATTAAAACGTATCAATGTAAAAAAATCTAAAAACAATTTGGGACGCAGGTGCATGAAGATTTTGGGTAAACACGAAACAACAGAAATTCATGTAGATGTGGAACGTGCGAAAATTGCACGTGAAAATTATGTCATGGTAGAAATCGCGAGTTCTCTTGGGAACATAACGATCCTTTTGCCTGTCTCAATAAATCGTAACGTACGTACGGGCGAACACACGTGCCGAATATGGAAGTTTGCGTAAAATCACCAATAAAGTCAAGTATTACGAAATATGATGGAAATTTATACATCTCCAACAGACTGTGCACCTACGGCACATTTCGGTAGTTTCGTTCCCTGTAGATTTATTAAATTTACGGTATTGTCTTGAGCACGTCGCACCTATACACGTACGAGGAAATGAGAAGCGGCCGACATACATAAAATGTAAGCGGTGCTGCACGGTAAAAAGAGGTCGTTTAAAAATAAATAAATTTAAGAAGAAGGAAAACGGAACATTTTTTTTACCTCTTACACGATAATCGCGGGTCTCACCTGCGCGCACCCTCGGTGATCGAGCATTCCGATTCTTTCGAGAAATTGCACATTCGACCATCCAAGTGAATAATGTACGAGCGCGAGCTTACGGCCGCCTCGAATGACTCTCCAGCTGGAACAAATTTTATTGCCAGTTTTTTTTGCACAGTGCAAATCTTTCAAGAGCACTGCAGTCGAGTCCGTTGAGACAATTGCGCAACAATTTTCCAACAATAAGATTAAGCTGACGTTCTTAAACGATTTTTAGAACACTACTTGCATATGTTGCCTCCTTTACGCAATTATCTCGATTTTTTCGTATATGACTTTAGAAATTTTTATAAATCTTGCTTAAATTTTTACACACATATTCTGTTTTTAGTTACATTGCTTTCTAAAGCAAAAAGATATTTATCTGTTATTAATACCGGTAAGTCCAAAATCATTGTTTGATACGTCGAGAGATAAAGCTTCGAGTTCCACGCAACCGGAAGAAAGCACACCGGCCAGCGCTATGCCGTCTTCCGGACCTAATTCGCAACCACTGATATTCAGCGTTTCCAAAGTTTTGTTCCTGACCAGAACTGAAAAAGACAAATTAACAAATACTGTACAGAAATCTTTTACAAATGAATCTTTCGCAAGGAATTTATTATATTTTATACTAATTTTATACTAATATTACACATACACACGCACTATGTATGTACAATATGTATAATATCAGTATAAAAAACATATGAATAGATTAGAAAAACAAAACTATCATCAAAGTAATTACACTATTTATCCATTAAATATCAGTATATATATACATATATAATATTTTGCAATGTTGCAATATTACGACAAGTTTTGTTTATCTCAACTTTTTGTTGAGATGTTTTTCGCAATAGTCTGAACATTAAGCAAAATCTTATATCCAAATAACCGATGAGGATCAAAGATTAGCAATGTAATTTTGTTTCTCTAAAAATTTTTATTCATAAATGTAAAATTGAAGCTATTATTTTATAACGAGTACGTATGTATATCCGGGAACATATCCTCGAGAAATTGCAGCACTGATTTTGTATCTGTAATAGGTGTTATTGCCCTTTCATGCATTTTTATATCGGAGTTTTAGTCACGTTCCACGTGTTGTAACATGCCATTTGTATGCACGCGCGCGTCACGATCTGCTATTCAGCTTGAATTTATTTAAATAATTCAACGTGCCGCTTATACCACACTTTCGACCTGTGAATCTTTCTTTCTTTTTCAATGCTAATTTTCGAGATTATATGGAATTGTGCATTCAGGTTTTAAAGATCGGCAATAAACAGAGCGGTTTCGTGCAGCGAGGTCAAATATGATACTTGTTCATTCAATCCATTATCAGGACGATTATGCGATGTTTCAAAGTAATATTCAAGACGATAGTACTTTTTAACCTGAATTCTTTAGCCTTAAACATTCACAGTTTTACATTTAAGCATATTATCCGGCGATAAAGTGTCATTAATATCTTCGACAAAAGATTCCGCGCGGTACAATTCTTCAAAATGCCATGTTGTTTCACGATTACATGATTTTCAGGGTAAATTTAAAAAAAACATTCCCTTCGTGTAGTAATGCCACGAATCTGTCCACCACAATGCCCTCGGCGGTTTATCCCTCGGTTCTTATGAAAATTAGATTTTGGTGAAACTGTCTGAAATGTTGAACATAAATAGTTTATGTGATGTTGAGAAAAAATCACAATGGCGATTTCCTGTAACAAACCGTTTAGTTGTTACAGGCATTTAAAAGTCGAAATAAGGTGGTATTTCAATACTATGTACATTATTTAAAGAACAATTATCTAACAAATATTGTAACCCACACAGCACAGAAAAATTGCAGGAAGATTGCACGAATGTTACATTGCAAGATTGTAATATTGCAGCAACGTTGCGCAACATTGCTGCAACGTTTCTGGAGGATTGCAGCAACGTTGAAATGTCCGCCCTCAGAGAGATTGCAGTGCAACATTATAGCAATGTTGCAGTGCAATATTTTTGGAATAATTTGTTGTTGTTGTACATAAGCAGAGAATTTACTAATTACATATGCATCCGGGCCTTTTTCAATACACAGCAAGCTATTGCGAAGCACCTAAGGAGATTATGTCGCTTCGCAATAGATAGAGATTGCGAGCAACACCGCATTGATCAAGTACTTAATAATTCGCGCATTATTGGTATCAACGAAAAGAACATTATAAAATTTTCGTAATTAGAAAAATTTTTTAAATAGAAAATATAGTATTTTTTTATTATTTTTGAAACATTGCTGCAATATTGCTATCGATAGTTTACAATTTTATATCCCTGCAATGTCTCTGCAAGATTGCACTGCAATCTGCAAGATTGCAACGTTTCTGCAAGGTAACTGCAACCATCTGTGCTGTATGGGAATACACAAGAACGACGATAATCTCTATTGTTTTGGATACTAAATACAATCCCGTTTATCAAATTGTTCTATTACGTTACATTTGTGAGGACTTTACCGATAAAGTTGCAAAAAAGAACTATTTTAGTGTACTTTGGTGTATTATAACAATAAATTTAAATTTGCATAATGTTATTAAGAAATATTTCATACATATTTAATGATCTATGTAAGTTGTTGCAACTTTGACGCAGTAGATTTTATATTAATCTTTTTACCGACGAATGACACAACAAATTCTTTTTGAAGGCTAATAGTTTTAACAACATATTTCATGTTTTGATTACAACTTCTCCAAGAGATCACATATGATGCTTATAATATCATATATAGTATTAAAGTTAATAATATATATGATTAATAATATATAAAGATGTTAAAATAATCTTTTTTTGCAACTTTAACTGCAAATTTCTCAAAATTGTGATGTGGTAAAGTAATTTAATGGAATCGAAACAATCATCTTCTTTTTGTATGCATTGTTTTGTTAAATAGTGTACGAGTGAAATAACGTCTTATTTTGACTTTTGAACACTTACTCGTATAGCAAACGGGTCATTCGAGGGGGAAACCGCTGACCAAAATCTTATACATACACCAATGCCCACTAATGCCCAGTGGGCATTACTTTATCTTATTATCTAATTTTATTTTATTTATCTTGTTTTATCTTGTTTAATCGTATTTTATCTTATTTTATCTTTATAATACCCAGTAAGGCCTAATGCCCAAACTAATGCCCAAAAAATGTCTAGTAATACCCAGTAATACCGCAAATTTGTACACCACAATGCCCTCAGCGGTTTCCCCCTCAGGTACATTACAGGGAACTGCCCACATTGTGACATTTGATCAGCATATATATAAACTATTTATTTTTAAACTCACTCAACCAACCAATTTCATCGAAATCCAATTTCCGCAAGAACCGTGCAGAGCTCTTTGGCACAGATATTTAACAAAATAAATTCCATTATTTTTTTTACGTTTCGTTATTTGAAGAGAGTCTCTTGCTGACACTTGTTTTATTATCGTAAAAATTATATTCAAAATGAAGATGAATGAGGGAAATGCAGAAAATATAAATTTTTAAATCCAATTGTATCATTGATCCCATATATGTATGCATAACGTGCATTGATAAATTTATTAGCTTTTCAAAAGAGAAAGGGGGAGAGGGGAGAGAGAGAGAGGGGGGAGAATGGTACTGGAATACTAAATCCGTGATATTTCCATTATTCGGCGAAAATGCTATGCATCCGTATACTAGTAACTAGTGCACCGGAATAAGGTAGTACCTTACGCAACATTAAATTTCAATTTACCTCGACGAGCTTTGTATTACTTGGGCACTGAAGTTTGTGGAAAACGCCACTGGATAATCTCCAAAATCGCGTTGCATTTTCCCAAACAAACAAAAAAAATATCTATCTGGAAATATATCGTTTCAAAAAGAGAGAGAGAGAGAGAATTGCACATGGAATTATTTACTACACTCGCGTCTATTTACATTCATCGCTATTTTACTTGTGGGAGGATCATTTAAAATGGAATTGTTCATTGCCAGTTATATGCTTGCTATTATAACTGTAAATACAAATTGAAATTTTATTTGTGATTAATCGTGATTAATTAATAATTGCGTTGCAGTTAGTTTCATTAACAGCGTGAATTATCGAGTTGCTTCTTATTACTTATAAAAATACCGAATTTATCAATTTATCATATTTCTGAATGTCATCAGCGAAGAATCTCGAAAAGGTCGTGAAATCTATCAGGAACTTATAAGTTAAAAGATATCCGATGATAAATTTTAATGTATAGCATTTGCTTGTTACTAAATTATAATATTCATGCTCTATGAGAAAGTTTTCAACATATGTTTTAATATTTCTTTAAAAACTCATCGATCTCTCTTCATCGTGCAGTTGTTCTAATTCAGTAACGAGTGTCAAATCTTTTTTAACATATACAGGGTGCTTCAGACCACCCGTACAGCCCCTTTATTTCGGAAATAGAACATTTTAGAGAAAAATGTTTCAGGCAAAAGTTATACGATTTTAAAAGGGCTTTAT